CCAATCACTGGGTTTACAGGCTTGCGCCACTGTGCCCAGCTATTTGACAAGCTTATAGTGTAGATCAAATGAGATACATACCAAGTATTTAGCACAGGGTCTCCATACCGGTAGACAACAGTAGTGTTAGCCATCAGCCTTGAGTTAACTGGTGAAGGCTATACCTAAAATAGTCGCTGCGGAAACAAAGAAGAAACAGATGCAAAAAGTATTATATATGGGCGGGGCGGGCCCGTGTTACACAAAAAACAAAACCACCGGGACTTGGTTACTGCCCAAACATGGGAAAGATAAGAAGGAAGTTAAGTGCAGACTTTTGAGCCTGGTGTTGGTTTTCATCTCTTGAGTTGCAACCAGGAGGGAGTTAGGGTTAGGGTTAGGGTTAGGGTTAGGGTTAGGGTTAGGGTTAGGGTTAGGAAAGTGGAACAAGACAGGCAGGAGCCTGGGAAAGGCCTCAGACCACAGGGCAGAGCTGATCCCCGGGAGGAGACCAGGAGGAGGAGGAAGTGTTGGGAGGCAGTGGGGTTCTAAAGAGTTTCTAAAGAGGCCAGTGGGGAGTTCTCAAGACTCACCCATCAGAGGAAAGCCTCATCTTGCAAAATTGGGCTTCCTTTCCAACTCTACAGGGGGCCGTGGGAAGCGGGGACTCCTGCACACACGGAGGTGAATTCCAAGTGTTCCCATCTGGGCTGTCTGTCCATTACGGAGACCTGAGAGGCACATAATCRTGGCTCCCACAATTGCGAGGCCAAGAGAAAATGCAACCCTGAAAGGGTTGGCAGTCGTACAAAAATAGCAACCGCCTTTCCCAGGTTTCCAACGCCTTCAAATGACTGCCGACAGGGCAGCATGGAATTGAAGGGAGACCGATCACCAACCAGAAACAGGGAGTRGAGGAAAGATTGTGAGGATGTAGTATGCTTATCACCTCCCAGCACCTTCCACAGAAATGCATCCCTCAAGGAACAGAGACTACTTGGTGCAAGGCRTTCCCCAAAGCACTCCCTCAGTAAAATCACTTCACCTTCATTTCTTCTTCTCTTTTCTTAACAGCTGGCCCAGGCGGAGATGACATCCCAGGTGGACCCTCACCAGGTGGACTCTCACCTGGGGCCATTGCCGGCATCGTGATTGGAGTCTTGGCTGGAGTGGGGCTGATAGCAGGCCTGGGGTATTTCCTGTTTTTCAGGAAGACTGGCGGGTATGGTGCCTTTCCTCTTCTTCCATGTTCTCCAAGGCCAACTGCCACGCTTGGGAGAGGGGAAGACTTCTTTACCTCCATCTCTGGGACTGGATCTCCTTTCCTTTCCTGAACTCCTCCTTCTCAGCATTCATTCCTGTGGGTGGTGGCTCTCCCTGCCTTCCTGCTCCCTGCCCTCCCTCTTGGACATGGTTATCCCCATCCCCATCCAGTTTGGAGGAACAGATCTGATTATGTTCCCCTGTCATCCCCCATCAGGAAGCCAAGGTCCAAGAAGGAAAACACAGGAAGAAATGAAAGGAGTATTATTAGGAGAAAGCAAATCACATGCTCTGTCGGCCACAGCAGCTGGAATTGGGAAGGACAGGACAGGAGGAGAGTCTAAGAGAAAGTGGGAAGAACCAAAGTCTTCTTGGACAATAAATAAAGGGGGGGGGGCTATAAGCCAGAATCGAGGATCATGGGTTCAAAGCCAGCCTCAGCAACTTAAAGGAAGGCTATAAGCAACCTGACTCAAAATAAAAAAATAGAAAGGGCTGGGATATGTCTCAGTGGTTAAGTGCCCCTGGATTCAATCCCTGGTACCAAAAAGAAAGAAAGAAAAGAATAGACCTGTGCAGCAGGAGATGTAGCTCAGTGGTAGAGTAGTTTGTACTGGGTTTGGTCTCCAGCACCAGAAAAAGAAGAGAAAAAAAAATAGACCAAAGTGTGAATATCCAGCAAACGGGAAAGGAGTAAGCACCAAAGGAATAGTGGTTATGTTGAAGACTGAGGTCCTCAAAGGGTCAGCAGGACCAACCCAGTGTGAATGGACATCAAGGATCGCCAAATAATTTTCTGCTAACCGTGTCCTTCCTAACTCAGGGAGCAAAGGTCCTGTGCTTGGGAATAGCAGTCACAGTGTCTGATATTTGTTTAGGGCAAGCGACCAGCACGATCTCACAGAGCACATACCCTCAGCCTCCAACCACAGTAAGTAAAGCCACTCACCCAGTGAGAACCGTCTGCTTCATGTGTGCCCTGCAGGAAATGCCACAGTCACAGGCCACTCCCTCCCTTCTGAATTCTGACAGAGGAAGTCTCCACTGCCCAACCCGAAATTGGCATAGGTTCTCACACCCTTTCCAGCCACAACAGTGTCTTGAGACTTGGCCCCTGAGACAGGTTAGGCAGGCCTGAGTCAACCACAGTTCCAGGAGCCATTCCCTCCCCGCTCCCTCTTCCCTTCCTGCTCTACTAGGGATGTGGGCATTTATTCTCCCTTGGTGAGACTKTCCTTGTCTTGTGAGTGTGCTGGGTGCTGCGGGTCTCAACGTCCCTCCTTGCCACGGGAGTATGTTACTGAGAAACACATCTTTGCGAAAAATCAAGCCTTGAGAGCTGGTAGACGGGGTGGACAGAGGCCTCCTTGGCTCCACCCGTGTTCCTCTGGTACTAGTGTGCTGGGTCTAAACCACAGACCCCAAGGGAAGCAGATTCCTTAATGGATGGTGGGCCACCTCCCTCAGCTCCCCACCCCCAACCACCACGGCCTGCCACCTCCTTCAGGTAGAAGCGCAAGGCCTTCATCAGCTCCGMGTTCCCTTGGTTGGTAACTCCTCTTTTGTTTCCTCAGGTCCGGGCCCCTCTGACCACTCTCCTGACAAGGTAAGCACAGCCCGTTTGCTGGTTCATGTTCCCCTGGAGAGAACGGAGTATTCTTGGGGACAAAATGTGAGACCAAGTCTGGGTCYAAGTTCTTCAATGCAACAACAAAGAAATATTGGTTAGTCACGAGTCCACCCCAAGGCGAGAATATGTCCTTTGCAATTGTCCCCATCCTGCATTTAAACCCTGGTGGCAACTCTCAGCTCTGTGCACCTTTGACAGGTTACTTAACCTCTTTAATCTTCARTTTTCTCACCAGTAAAATGGGCATTCTGCCCACTTCAATAAGCTAAAAGGATTAAGGAGTTAAGTACATAAAACACCCCATACACTTCCCAGCACAAGGAAGGCACCCATCCTTCTCCCATGCCTACTTCAAACAGGTCCTGCTCTTACTAGCAAAGGGGAGTTCCATTCTAATGGATCTGAGGTYTGGCTCCTTTATTTTATAATCATTTTTACAGAATTTTTCTCATCTTAACCTTTCAATTGAGTGCACACAAATACTGAAAAGTACTGAAGTCATAAGTGATTTTTATCACACGTGATCTTTCACAAGGGGAACACACCCATGTCTGCAGTACCTGAATCCAGACACTCTGTGGCCATCTCCTTGCCCCCAAGAAGAATCCTTCTAGTCATTTCCCTACGAGATAGACCTCTGCCCAGATTGAGAGCACCGGAAATCAGGGTGCAGCATATCCCTTATGCATCTGGTTTCATTCAGCATTGTCTTGTGAGACAATTCATCCACAATTGTACATATTTGTGGTTTATTATTATTTTTAATTTTTTTTTTTGCAATGCTGGGAATCGAACCCAGGGCCTCGGCATGCCAGGCAAGTGCTCTACCACTGAGCCACATTCTCACTGCCGGGGTATGGTATTCCATTGTATCAACACCGTCATCCGCCTCTTCTAACCATTATTCATGAGGATGCTAGCAAGCAGAAAAACAGTAACCAAAGTCCCCTGCCAAAGCTAAATGTCCAGAAGAGGTGGCCACACAGTGCGGTTGAGTCCCATCAGCCAGGGTAACACTCTGACCTGTGACACTGAGCTGATTGCTGTTTCTACTTTCCAGGGGGATGATGTTGCTTATTCTTCTCTGAACTTCAACATCCAGGAACTAACACAACCGTCTTCACCCACCTCCCCGTCCCCGACAGCCACAGAAACTGTTTACTCTGAATTGAAAAAGAAGTAATGCAACCTGTTCTGCTCGMTGCACTGGTGATGTGCTCCAAGTCTCAGCACCCTCACTAGGAGATCTCTTGTGGGGGAGGGGGAAGAAGTCCCTCCCCACCCCATTACACACCTCCCTTCTGTGTCAACAAATGGAAAGAACATCCGGGAGTGTTCGGGCACACCAATCTTCCTTCCTGTTGAAATTTGGCAAAGTAGACTTTGGGAGAGAATTGAAGGACCTTCCTGTCCCTCCAGGCTTCCTGACCTAGACTTGTTTTAAATTTACTTATCCAGAGTGTACCAATTCCTTCCCAACCCAGTCCTGACCTATCAGATTCTAACCTGAATTTTCCATAACMTTGAGAGTTATGTCCTTTTCCACTTAATTACTTATGCCAGAAAAAAAGAGAGAGAGAAAGTAAAAGCAGTAGTAGTGGCTTTTCCATTCTCTCCAAAACCCACCATCCACAGGAAAATCTAATATATAACCAGTAGTGACCTGGGAAATTCTATAACTTTGTCCACTGTCAGGGTCGCTTAYCTACAGGACCAGGGTCTGAGCACCTTGCTGCTTAGCTAGAATACCACCTAAGCCCTTTGGCAGAAATGTTTCCAGAGAACCCACCAGAAACAACTGGAAAAATATCTGCCAAGGTCCATAGGTGATTCCTAAAAAAAAGAAAAAAAAATGCAAAAATCACACCTATGCCTTTAATATCTGGATGGGTGTTATTCAAGGAAGTGCCCAGAAAAGAAGAGATTATAGCTTTTGCAGGGGGGAAAGAAAGCTTTTCATAGACAACCTGCTGAGAACTTGGAAAAGGAGTAGAGAGCTACTCTTCATAAATTATTTAAATTTTTGTTAAAGAATGTGTAATTGGAGGGTATTGGGAGTTTTTTTTTTTCCTCCTTTTCTGATACTTTCTACCATTTTAATCTTTGTAACTGCTTACTTAATGTGAATGGAATTATTCTTACTGGGCTTAGCTGTGTAGGCTGATCAGACCGCCTGAGGTTAAAGAAGCCACCAAAATGTCAACAGCCCTTGGCCAGAAGCCTCTGTGGCTTTTTTGACAAGAATAGAAAACAAGAAGAGGCTTTCCTCATTCGTGCCAGGAATGGACAAGTCACCAGCTCCTTCTCCATGTTTCTGCCCGTGTGTTCTGTCCCTGTCTGCTGGCGTCCCTTAGGGTGTGTTTGGTCCTTAAAAAATGGGAGCCTCTAAAGGGAACACCACTGCTCATACCAATGGCGTGGTTCATGACCCAGAAAGCTGCACTGGTGCTAGTGCCCTTGGGAYATAAGGGCTGTGAGAGGGGGTTAGGCCATAGTGGGGGATAAGCTGGCCCTGGATTTTCTGCTCTGAAACTTATCTTTTCTCACATAGGGTCAATGAGTCCCCATGTGTCTTAAGATAAAAATGAAAGACAGGAAAAGGAAAGGCAAATGTGCTTCTCATGCAGTCTTCTGCTACACAGATGGACTCTCTTTGGGGCTATGAAGGGAAAGGTTGTATTTGATATTTGCTGCTTGATCTCCTGCTCTGCCTAACAGGCCTCCTCCAAGAGAATTCACTGGGAATTCTCCTACTCAGGTACCTCTTCAGGGATTTCCAGCCCTGAYAGAGACTGTATATAGTTTCCCTCATCCATCCTGTGCTGGGTTATTTAATTTTGCCAGASTAAGGCCACTTCTGAATTATTTGTAAAATTTGCTCTATATTTATAATAAAAAAAAAATCATGTATCAGACTTTCATATGCTGTCTCGTGGTTGGTACTACTTTAGACAACACAAGTTTGCAGACAGAAAAGATTGCCCGTGGGTACACCTATTTTTAGGTCAATGGGTATCTGATGCAGYGATCAGAATTAGCTAAATTCATTTGCATATTTGCTAACAAAGTGAGCACRTCTGGGAGCCACAGGTCACAGTTCTAACTTGCCTGGAAGGAATGTGGATCTTCCTCTGGGAGAGGAAATGCCATCAGGAGTAACAGATCTCCCGGCCTCTTCCTTAGGGGCAAGTGACACTCACCATCTAGGCATCTCCAGGTGAATCAGAGATGGAATACAACTGTCACTCACGAGGCGCTCCACAAACRGGGTCATATAGAAATCTCTCCAGCATCTTCCATCTCTTCGTTGCCAGTGCTTTTCTTCTGCCTTCTTACAGAGCCAACCTCGATAACTTTCATTTATTGACCCCACTAGGTATTAACTTATTCTCTCATTCCCATCACTTGTGATCAGCTGAAAGGTGCATGCTCTTTCTCTTCCCCCATCCGGTTTCTCCATCCCCGAGACTGCTGGAGGCAACACAAAATCAGTATCCACCTCCTGGCCAAATTCAAAGGAATTCTCACCGTCCTCACATTTCATTTTTATATCCTCTAACACCACCGATGACCTTTTTTCTTCTGGGCATTCTTCCATCCCCCACCTCTGTGGCACCCCTCCTCCACACTAGAGTTAGTCCTCCGACCTTTATGTTTGCCTCCATGCAACCTCTCCTCAGCTGCAAAGAGCTCTGGRCAATGGCTCCTGCATTTATGTCTCTGGCCCCTGCTTCCCAGAACTGACAGCACTCACATCCAAATATCTTCTGAACTAGTCTTTGTTGAGACTGGCTGTCCTCCTCAACACACTCATCTCTGCCAGTGATACCACCAAAGTTCCCTGCTCTGTCATTTCCCAGACTCAATACATCGTCAAAGTCTGTTTTGTTTTGTTTTGTTTTGGGGGAGGCTGTACAAGGGATTGAACCCAGGGATACTTTCTCACTGAGCCACATCCCCAGCCCTTTTTATTTTTTATTTTAAGACGGGGTCTCACTAAGCTGCTGCAGATGGCCTCCAATTTGCTCTCCTCCTAATCTTGGCCTCCCAA